CAACACACACACCTGCCGATTACCTGTGGGGGTCCTGCAGTGCGGGGAGGGCCCTCCAAAGATCAGAGAGTGTGGGATGGAAGGCAGAAATCATGTAAAGAGAGAATGGGCTGCTTGGGTGTGAACCTCTCCCCAACTCACACTCTGGCCTCCACACCTCTGGATATGAATAAGATAATTTGCCTTGCACGAGGCAGATTGCTTATGAAATGTTAGCTATTCTCGTGGTGGCTAATAACATCCACATGATTGGTACAAGAAAGTGAGCATTTGAGGTGGGCCTGGGGGAACCTTCTGGCGTGCATGCATCACTCAGCCCAGCCCCCTTGGGTGCCAGGGACACAGTACACCTCCAGCCTCCTGCAGGGCCACTCTGCCTCCCTCCCAGCCAGAAGCTGGGTATGGAGTGCTGCAAGCTGGGAAGGCATCCCCACAAAAGAAATGAGTTTTTCAGTGGTCACATACAGGTGGCACTTAATAAGTATTATTGGATGAGAAAGTTGGTTTCAGGCGATCACTACACTGAACCAAGCATGTTTGTGAATGCCACAGAAATCCACCCAACCCATTGAAGAAGGGAAGTGTCTCAGTCATTAAAAAGAGGTCTATAGTTATGGAGTTAGCGGACACTTCCTAAATTGATTCAGGAGGAGGGGGAAGGGGTCCAAGCCACGCGGAGTTTCTCACACAGCCAATAGGAATCCACAGTTCAGCTCAAGGCCACCTCGTGTTCTAATTGTGCTAACAGTGAGCGTGAACCAGGCCTCTGAGCTTTTTCAATTTGGGGGTTTTGTTTTCCTGTCTGAAGAATGCTCCCTGGACTCATCCCAAAAGCTCTCAGGACCACAGCGGGGACTGAAGTGAAGCGAAAATAGCCCACCAGTTGGAAGTTAGGAAGAACTCTTTCTACCTCTTGAGGGAGCGCTGCCTTCCTGGATACTCCCGCCCTCAGGTCCCTGTCCCCCAGACCCCCAAATGATGCTGCCAGAGAAGGAGAAACCCCAGGCCATGAGGGGTAGGGCAGGCCTGGACTTTGGGGACCTGGCTGGCAGCAGGAGGGCATGAAGGCAGCCCCCTTCCCACCTGAGCCCTAGTCACAGCCTTATACAAGGACCCCCACCTAGGCCAGTGTTCTCCAGGAGCTGAGCCTGGCTCAGGGGTGCGGGGCTGATGACAATATCTCACATGTGCGTGGGGCCTGGTACTTTTCCAAAGGCTTTTAAATGCCTTATCTTGTTGGAGGCTCATTTGAGGCAAGAACTCAAAGCAGACTGGAAAACAACTAATTTACTGAATCCTGAATGGAGAGGAAGCTGAATGCGGTGTGTGTTTTTGCTGAATCTCAAACCAAAACAACCTTTTGTTAAAGAACAAACAAATAAACAAAAATGCTGAACATCAATTCACCAGGGAACACAGTCTGAACAGAGGCTCTGGGCAGAGAAATATGCAGCAAATTCAAATTCAACAAACATGAATTGGGGGAGGGGCCCGCTGGAGTCACAGATGTGCTCATGAGGGGCTGCTAAGAGCTTTTAAGGGGCGTTCCAGCATGCACCAGGAGACAAGGTTGCTCTTTCCATAGACCAGAAACACTGGGCCATTGAGAGAGGCTGCTGGGAGCTGGCTGGGAGGGGGCCCTCTAGATAGGGGACCCCTGAGCACGGCAGGAAGGAGGGGTGCATTTGGGGCATCAGACCATGCTGCACCTGAGTGGAGGCTGCGTTGCCTACGAGGGAAGCATTAGAGGTTTCCTGGGGTTATCGCCAGCCCCCAGTGGAAGCAGCACTTGGGGTCATTAATCTGCAGCAGTGAGGTGGGATGGGATCTTCTGAGGTGATTGAATGGCCGTCAGCATTCCCCAAATAGAAATGATTTTGTTCCGTTTGAGTTGCTTCTTTGAAATAAGTCTATTCCCCCATTTTGGGTGGCACGGAAAGGTGAAGTGACAGCTGGAAATGTGTGTGGGCATTTAGGGGGTTGGGCAGGTTTCTCACGACCAGGGCCAGGATGGGAGGTGGAGTTGGAGGGGTCGCTTAACCCTACGTCCACTTGTCTAGCTGCCCTACTCTCAGCCCAAGAGGAGGTGGGCACAGCTAGGGGCCATGGAGACTAGTGTGGACCCTTGCTGCACAGGCTGGTGCACCATTGGCCCCCACACCCCCAGCCCCATTTACACATGTTCACAAGGACATTCTTGGCCTGCGGTTTCTTCCACCTGCTGGAGACTGGGTTACTGGAGCCCAACTCTGTAGGGAGTAGGAGCCAGGGATTGGATGGTGCGAAATCCTCCCTCTCACGCCCAGGGTGGGGGATAAGCAATAGCTCGGTCGTCCGGGGTGGGTGGGTGGTGAGCCCAGGATCTCAGCGATCACAGGTGGCGTCCTGATTCTCCTGAGAGCCAGGTGACAATCAGTTGCTTCCCTAAACATCCATTGTGCACTTGTCAGAGGTAACTCCCCTGATGCAGTCACTTTGAGTGGTCCTGGGTTTTCCCAGTCCTGCAGACGTCCCCTGGGGTCTGATGCCAGCTCTGCCCTGGCATCTCCCCCTCTGCTGACACAGACAGACCTGTCCTTCAGGGACAGGGCTCTTAGTCCTGGGGACCCTCATTGGGAGCTCTCTCCCAGGGCGCTGCTGACTGTACCCCTCTCTCGCACAGTCCACTCCCACAGGCCAGAGGACATGCACCAGCCAGCCTTGTTCCACAGTGCCACGGTCCCGCTGCAGCAAGTGAGGCTTGCCAACACCCCTGCGGCCAGCCTGGCAGCCGAGTTGTGGGTGGTCCAAGAGTTGAGGCCAGGCTGTGCCCAGAGCCAGGGCTGCGGCTGGGACCTGGAGCTGGTCATCTGTGACGACAGAGTCAGCCCCCAGAGCCCAGGCTTCCTGGTGGGATACAGGTAAGGCTCCTCCAACCCTGGGCTTTTCAAAACCTTCAGGCCCATTCTCGCCTGTGTTCCCCAGAACTGCCCTGGGAGGGGAGCACAAGTTCCTTCAGCCCTGGAAGCATGAGAGGACAGTGGTTTACTCCATCACACAGACCCCCTAGCAACCGAATCCCCATTCAACTCTCTAACCCGGAGAAGAATGGGGTCTCCCTGTCTCCCCACCTGCTGACCGAACCTGGGAGAAGCTTGTTAGCTCCCAGCAGGAAGCTGGGAATTCTTTGTCCCTTTCCCAAAAGAGACATTTGCATTCTCTCATCCCTTGTTCCTGTCCACAGGGTAACTTGTCCTCTGCTCCAGGCCGCCGTCCAACCCTGGGCAGGTGTCAGGATCCCAGACCCACCTACAGGAGGTTGTTCGGGCCGTGAGTGGCCAGTGTCTGCTCCCCTATCCCACCGGGCTGAGTGGGGCTGCGGCCTCCTCTCCCAGGACAGAGGTGCTGCTGCTGCCCTCCCCAGCATCATCAGGCTCTACATGGTGGTGGTGATGGTTGCAGCCAAGTTCATCTGCGAGCACCTCTTCAGCATCTCCTGCTCCATCATGAACAAGCCCGCGTGCTCAGGCTCTCCATCCACGTCCTGGTCTGAGAGCTGGCGCAGCGGCTCTTTGCCAAGATGACCTTCTGGTACCACTCACCGGAAACCAGGATCAAGTGGACCAGCCACTGCCCACCTGCCCCCCCACTGCCAGCCACCCCTGACCCTGTTGCCAGGGCTCTGGCAGGGCCAGGGAAAGCAGCCGTCACATCCTAAAGCCCTTTGGCCTTTGGGAAAGCAAGGCCCTTGGCTCACCCCCATGGTCCCCCTGACGCCAGCAGCCAGGCCAGGCCCTGAGCTTGCAGCTGGTCCCCCGCTGGGTCCCTGGCCCTGAGGCCGCCTTTGTGCCCGCATAAGGGAGACTCAGTTCGTCCCCTGCTCCTTGACTCTCTATCCTGCAGCCCCCTGGCGGGGGGAATGGACACTACCAGCTGCCCAGAGAAGGAGCTGGGCCACCTCAGTGACCTCTGCCTCCTCCAGGGCATCTCCGAGGGAAGCTGGCAAGAGCTGCCTATTGCAAGGCCATTAAGCAAGCTAATGACCCATGAAGCCTCTTGGCCTTTCCGGCTGCCAGCCGTGCCTCCCCTCGGCTCACAGAGCCCGTGCCCACCCGACCGCCTTGTGACCGCTGTTATTGTTACTTAACGTGTCGGGCCGCGGTTTTCCCAGACGGGGCCTGGGCCCCAGAGCTGCTGCTTGCCTGTTCCGGGCCCAGCCAGGGCTATGCACACAGCAGGCAGTTAATAAATATTTGCTTGAGATCAAGCCCAGAAAGAGTCACCTTGATTTCTAGAGCTTGGGAACTGACTTGGAGCCTGGGGACCCTACGGCAGGGGTGAGATGGTCAGGGGGCCCAGGGGACATATGTCCTGCAGCCACATTCTCACCCCTCTGTTCCCAGCAGAGGAGGTGTGGGCAGCCGCCTCCGTGCCAGGTGGGGCTTGAGTCCCCAATTTCTTCCTCTGGGCCCAGGCTGCCTGCTGGGATAGAGCACAAGAGGGGACGTAGGCCTTGTCTGCAGTCTCACCCGAACTGGGGGAAGCTGACTCCCAGGTGCCCTGGGGCCGGCCTCACCTGCCTTACACTGGGCCCAGGTATGGGGGTCTCCCTGAATCCTGGCCGTGCCCTGCCTTTCAGCACCTAGGATCGTGCCTAGGGGGGCTTCAGTGCCAAGGAAACGTACTGGACCCGGTATAATACTCGCCTTGTGATGTGCTCTGGGGTCAGGACAGCCTTCCCTGCGGACTGCAGGATCACGGGAGAGCCCCGGAAGGCCTGTGGCGCCTCCCCTTGGAATCTGCACTATGCACCCTCAGAAAACCGAGCTGGCCTAGGCTGTGCAGGTCTGGCCCCCCGCCACCCCCAGGTGTCAGGGCTCTCATCTGCAAACACGAGGTCAGTCCACAAGCTACATCTCACAGCCAGACACGTGTGGAAGTAGAGCCTCAGACCCACGGGCAGGCCTTGGTGTCGGTTTCTAAAACGGGGTGGGAGAAAGAGTGAGACGGAGGCAGAGATGTGATGTGGTACAGCCATATTTAATTCAACGTCCAGTGAATTCTAAGGGGCCAGAGTAGAGACTTCTCTTGCTCTATGAAATTGGGTCCCTGAAGCAAGTTACCTCCATCCTTTCAAAGGGGTGGGCTGCTTGGAGGCAGCGGCAGCATGGGCCTGGGCTCTCTGTAATGTGGGTACCATGCATGGGGCTTGGGGCCAGAGACAGGGCCATGGGCACCCACTGTAGGCACCGAGAAGAGGCAGGAGGCCTGAGGGCCAGCTGGCCGAGGGCGTCAGGGCCACCTATGTGTTCTGGGGCTCCAAGGTCGTGCAGAGGCCCCAGGAGGGAACACACTGTGCAGAAGGTGGCGGGGAGGCCAGCAGGTAAGTCAAGCAGAAACAAGCCCTAGTGCTTCCTGCGCCTCCCCCGGGGCCCCCGCCAAACCCTAAGCTGTCTTCAAAGACATAAGAAGGAGCCGTTTCCATCACTACGACAATTAAAAACAAAAACAAACCAAAGCCGATCTTAAGGTATAATCTTTCAATTGCTTAAAATTAATCAGTGCAAAGTGAGGTAAAGAGCCCTGCGTTGCTGGGGGCCGGGAGAGGCAGCTGGCCTCACACAAGCCTGCGCCTCTTGGAGTCCCTCTCCGCATCCTCCTCCTGGGCATCCACCTCACAGCCGAGCGGGGACACCAAGTTCAGCAGAGGATCCTCGGAGGCCCGGCCGAAGAGCGCCAGCAGGAGGGCCACACCGAAGCCTGTGGCGCGCTCACCCTGTGGGCAAAGGGCGGGGTGGAAACCCTCTGCCACTGAGCCAGACCCGCTCAGCAAGCCCGCCTCTGCAGGGAGGGGCTCCAGACCCCTACTCACCCTGCCACCCCCTTCTGCTGTCCTGCCACACTCAGGGCACAGTGCTCTGGCTCCAACCCTCAGGTCTCCTTGGGGCGGGAAGGGGTGAGACTGAGGCCCCTGGGCCTCATGCAGAGGATGGGCTGACTAGGGAAGGACCACACAGAGCAGCCACTCTGTTCCCAGGGATGAGGAGACCAGAGGTCAGGGGGGACCACAGCTGGCTGGAGGCTGGGCCACAGGCAGTGTGACCCTCAACACAGAGTGTTTCCAATGAGCTCAGCATGCAGCACTGGAGCCAGAAAGGGGCTCTGGACTCACGAGAGGGTAGGAGCAGCCAGGCCAGTGTGGAGGGGACGGGTGGGGAAGCAGACTGGCTGACCGGGCGAGGAAGTGTCCTAACGGGAGGCGAGGGCACCCGTAGAGGGGCTGGAACTCACGGCATGCACAGGTGCAGCGATATCCACGTGGACCCAGACCCCGGGCCAGTCGAAGCCGATGTGTGAAGCGATGAAAAGACCGGCACAGGAGCTGGGGCTGTTGTCCCGGTCCTGGGGGGACAGGAGGACAGATGGTGGCCCTTCCACTCCCAGCAATGGGGGCTTGGGGGAGGGGCTCCACCAAGAGTACCTTCAGGGCTGCTTCCACTTGGGCCCACTGTGGACATCCCCACCTGCTCTCGACCCACCATCCTCAGCCACTGCCTCCCTTGGTGTGTGCAAGAAGGGGCCCCCGGGGTGGGAGAGCCCAGTATGGGAAGGCAGCTGAAAGGGACCCCAGGGCCTTGCACATGGGCTAAGGGGTCTGCCTTCACCCCAGGGCAAGCGGGGAGCTGGCGAAGGAACTGATGGGGGGCAACCGAGGCCGACCCCAGAGCAGGGAGGAAATCCCCAGCGGCTGCCATGGTGGACGTGGGAGGGAGACCAGTAAGAGGCACATCCCCCGTTTGGATGCCTTCCCCAGAGCATGGATCTGGGGCCTCATGGGGGGACCCTCGTCTGCACTGCTGCTATTTCTTGGGGTCACTCTGTCTCCCAAGTTACCCCAATGCTCCTGTTCCACCCAGCATGGTCACCATTCCAAACCTACCGCCACTGAGTTCTTCATGTCGGCCACTGCCGAGGTGAACTCGCTGAAGTGCAGCTCGGGGCAGTAGACCAGCGGGTGCACCAGGTCCCCACACTTCCTCCCAGCCTTCACGCAGGCCGCTTCCCACTCGGCACTGTTGGTGAGCACTGCGGCATGGTACTTGCCCGTGGCGATGCCCTGGGAGGGTGGACACAACGGGAGGAGATGGAGGGGGACACAGGGAGAGTCACAGAGGTGAGGGAGAGACGGACAGAGCCACACGGGAAGTGTCCACCATGGGAGAAAAGGAGAGAGAAACACACAAGACAAAAGAGGGCCAGAGGGGCAGCAGCAAGAAGCAAAGGAAGAGACAGAGGAGCGTGAGCATGGAGCAGGCGGAGGAAGGCTTCCCGTCCCGTCCAGGCCTCAGTCCACAGGCTCCACTGCCTGCACCCCACTGGGCGCCATGGACAAGCTCCTTGGCCTCCTCAGCCAGGTTATGAAGATGAAGTGACAGCGGCCCCCTCCCCGCTTGGAGTCCAGGTGGGCTCAGGCTCCCTGGGGGCCGCAGCTAAGGGGCCCACCTGCGCTCCGGTCAGAGTGGCCATGTCCAGGATGATGTCAGCTCCCAGGTCCTTGCAGGCGTAGGACACGCCATCTGCCAGCACCAGCCTGCCCTCGGCGTCGGTGTTATTGATTTCCACAGTCCTGGGGCACAGCAGAGACCCCAGCTCAGGGAGGGCATTCCCTGGGGCACTGGGAGTGAGTCCCTTTGGAACTGGGCACACCCCGTTTAGAGACCCTCTTCCCTCTGGGAGGCTAGGCAGCCCCCAACCCCTACACCAATGCAGGGCCGGGGTCAGTCCAGCCCCGCTGCTCTCCAGCCATGAACCAGCGCAAGCCACTCAGCTCCCTGTGCCTCAGTTTCCTCATCTGTAAGATGGGAGAACAGGGTTGTGTGGGCCGCATGAACTGGGCTGGGCGAGCCCTTGGCACACAGTGTCTGGCCCCAGTAAATGCAGAGGAGGAAGCACCCCTTGGGGTCACCCTGGGGATGGGTACCCGTCAGGGGGCGGTAAGGGTGGGGGGTGGGTGGACTCTTTTATTCTGAATCCTGGGCCACCTGTTCCTCCAGCTGCCACCTGCTGTGACTTTCAAGTGTGCCCTTTTGCAGTTGAGAAGGAATAGTCCAAGGGCTGAACTCAAGAAGGAGACACAGGGAGAGCCCCCAAGTAGGGAATCTGGGGGGCAAGGCTTCAGATGCCCAAAGAACATTAAGCCTAAGGGTTTGAAGGGTTCTTCTTGATGAGGCAGGGTGAATCCTGAGCTACTGAGTCAGGCGCCCTGAGGGAACCCAACACCTTGTCCCATGACATGGTCCCCCTTCCTGGCCACCCCTGGGAGCGAGCAGCCTGTTGCCCAGGGGGTTCCTATCGCAGGGTGTCCTCCCAACAGGATTTGCCTCTGGCAGGGGTGAGCAGGGTGAATCCGCCCCTCAGCCAGGCTTGGCTTGGGGCTGCCCAGCCTGGTCCTGGGAAGGAGGGGGCTGAGAGTTCCAACAACAGGGAGCACACGCCCAGAGGGGAGCAGGCGCTGTGATGCAGGTGAGAGAAGGCGGAGCCGGCCTTACTTTCCTGAGTACAGCAGGTGGATGTCGTCAGGCCTCGTAGCATTGGGCCCCACTGAGTTCTCAGCCAAGCAGAACACGGCATGGAGGTTGTCTTTGAAACCCTGGAGGGGATGTGGGCAGAGGCTCCAGTCACAGGCTGGCAATGCACGGAGGAGAAAGTACTGGCCAGAGCTCTCTGACCCACCAAGGTCAGACAGACAGACAGACAGACTCCAGGGAGCAGAGAGCGCAGCTTCCCCGCCACTCCCTGGCATTCCTGGCCGCGGGCTCTACGGCCAAGGCTCACCGCATCTGGGGAGTCCCAGCACCCCCTACCAGAGCACATGCAATGCAGGGACGAGCCCGGAAGTGGGGCTGGGCTGCCGCGTTTGAATCCTGGCCCTGCTGCTTGCCAGGGGCACATGCCAGGCCAGTCGCTCAGCCTCGCTCAGCCCCCACCTCCTGTCCACAAAATGCGGCCAGCGGTCAATGTCCCGCTCTGCATCACTGCACGACAGAACACTACACACATGCATATGCATGGGGGTCAGGAAGAGCTCGGCCTCACAGACATTTAAGTGTGAAGTGATGGTTTTCTGATGCCAAAATGCAACATTTGTACACTGAGAAAAGTGCTCTGAACAGGCAGAAGCGGTTTCTGCCCTACACGGGTTCTGAACGTCCCCAGAAAACCCCAAGCAGGCCTCGCCCAGGTGGCAGTGGAAGGCGGAGCAGAGGTCCACCCCCACCCCCCGTCCCTGCCCTTCCGCTGCTCCTGGACACGAGCCCTTAACCAAGACACATCTCCTCTTGGCACTGAGCATGCCGGGGCCCCTCCCCACTTCCTCGAGGGCCCTTACAAACGGCTCTATCAGATCCAACATCTTCCCAGCTCCTGGAACAGTCGCTTATTCAGCCACAGGTGCAGAGCACCCACCAAAGGTAAACACAGGCCTGCGGGCAGGCAGGGGCAGCAGCAGGGCTGAAGCGCTGGGCTGGGCTGGGGGTGGCTGCAAGCCCCGGGACCTCCAGCCACCGCCCCTGCTCCAGGTCCATGCTCTGAGCCCGAGCCTCGCAGACGGCCCCAAACCCCAACACCCAGCAAGGGGGAAGAACCCTACTGGCTTCTTGGGGGCAACAACACTGGGCCACCTGTCAGCTCCCCACAGCCCTGAGGCTGCCACTACCACGCTCACGGCCAGCCCGTGTGAGGACTAGGGAGCAGGGGCTTCCAGACCCTCGGCCTCCTCCCTTCAGAGCTCCCCTCCCGAACCCTCAAATCACTGACATTCAGCACACAGTGACCACTGCCTGGCTTGTGCCAGGGCTCCAGCCCTTCACGTCCAGGGGGGAGTGGGTGGCTGGGAACAAATGAATGATGACAACGTGACCATGGAGACAGGGGCTCTGGGCCACCGAGGCCAGAGAGGTGAACCTCACCAACGGAGCAGGGGAGCCCTGAAGCCCTCCCAGAGAGAGGGACGTGGGTCTGGGCCCTGAAGGGGAGAGGAGCTTGCAGAACGTGAGGGCAGGACGGTGGGGGTGTGAGGAGAGACCAGCGTTCCCAACTTGACCCTCTCAGCCTCCCCAGCCTGTGGAAACCTGACGCTGGCCCCACCCCCCAATTTCAGATTCAGAAGGTCTGGGTGGAGCCAGAATCTGCGTTTCTAATAGGCTTTTGGGGCGCTGCTGCTGCTGCTGCTGTGGGGACCCCACTTGGAAGGTTGACTTAGCATGCCGTGGGCAGGTGGTCCTGAGGCTCACGTTGCTGGGTATCGGGGTACAGGGAATAGCCACACGGGTCTGGGGACCCCCAGGGGCACTGAAAACTTGCAGGCAGCCAGGGGTCTCAGGTAAGTAAGGCTTGCTCACTACTGCCCCAGAACCCGGCGCCACCCTGCTCCCAGCATACCTTCATGTCAGGATGGCATGTCCTCCCCTCTTAAAAATGTTAAAACATTTCATTTTGAAATAATTTCAAACTCACAAAAAATTTTGCAAAAATGGTACAAACAATTCCTGGATACCTCTGATGGACAACTCCCCCAAGGTGAATGCCTGGTGTGATCACAGCGCGCTGGTCCACACCAGCGAGTTATCACGAACATGGTGACTGGATGCAGTCTAGGGGCACGCACCGTATTTGGTTGTCACCTGCCTCCTCAGTCTGGAGCTTCTGAGGTCTGCCTTTTGTCTGTGGTGACCTTGGCACTTGCGCTGTCTCCTTGTGGCCACACTCAGGGCGTGCGTTTGGCAGGAAGCCCAGAGAAGTGCTTGTCTCAGTGCCTCATCTCAGAGGCACATCATGGGCTCTGTCCCTGTGCTGGTGACGTCCACAGGGACACAGTGATGCCCGCCAGGTGCCCCACGGTACAGTCACTGTAAGTACTTGTACGGAGGCACTCTGAGATCTCATCCATCCCGTTTCTCACCACACTTTAACACTCCGATTTTAGCATCTGTTGATCGTTCTTACCTGAAACAATTATTACTGTGCTGTTTGCCAAATGGTGATTTTCTATTTCCACCACTCCTTCTACAGTTAGCACCTGGAATTCCACTGTAACAAATAGTCCTCTCTTCCCCTATTCATTTATTCATTCAACAATTTATTCCTACTGCTATGGATGTGTAGATTCTTATTTTATTCTGTGGGTTATATCCATTACTATCATTATCTATTCTGCGGCTCAAATTGTGGCACATTCCTTTTTAAGAGGCTGACAAAAATTAGAGTTAAGAGTGGAGCCTCCAGGTTGTGGTCCTTGTGGGGGTGGGGGCTCCTCAGCGCCCCGCTGCACACCCCTGAGGTGGAGGGGTCCAGAGGAGTCCTGAGACCATTCATGGCCACCAGCTGATGAATCAGCGTTAATTGCCAAGTGGCTCCCTGTGAACAGGGAGCTGGAGCCTGGAAGAGTCTACCTGCTGGGGCACTTCACGGCCAGCCCGTCCAGATGCCAGGACAGACCCTCTGCTGGAGCAGTAACCGGGGATGAAGGGCAAAGATGACACAGAGTGCCGGCCACGTGAGCCTCCACGCCACTTCCCCATGTGCCACCAACAAGCCGCAGCTGTTCCCTTCAGAGAGAGCCACCCAGCGAGCACCCTACAGCCGACAGGCTCATCTACGGAGGCAGCAGGCCTGGCTGAGCCACCAGGGCCCTGGCGGGGGGCAGGTGGCAGGAGCTGGGTGCTGCCCACCCAGGCCGGGTGCAGTGCGGCGCGAGGCGAGTGCCTCATGGAATGCTGGCCGGGGCTCCTTGTTAGCCTCCAGCCAGCGCTGCGACAGAGCACAGACGACGCCTGCTCCTCCTGCAGCTTCCCACCAGGGTCCTGCTTGCAGAGGGCCTGTGGTTGTGGCTCTGCTTCAGCGAGACCCTGGGAAGGTCCGTTCCAAACGAGGCTGTGCGGGGCAGAAGCAAGAGCCAGCCGGGCTGCTCTGAGAAGTCCCATCCCCCCGGACCCTCTGAGAAGCCCCGGAGCACAGTCGAGGACACTCCCATCCACCACAGACGAGCCCCTCCTTCGTCCTGGAACTTCTGCTTCTCTCTTAGGAAACAGGCTGGACTCCTGACCAGCCGGAATTTGAAACTATTTGCCAAGACCTTTCTGATTTTGTTTTCACTTTAAGTCCGCCCCTGGAACCCCGATGCATAGGCAGCCCCTGGGGGAGCAGGGGTCTTACAGTTACTGACGTGAATGGCTGAGCTTCTTAGAAGGGGCCTGAAGGAGCTACACTGAGGAGTAAGTCACCCCTGTGGTCAGTGCACGCTACCCCTTGGTGAACAAACACTTCATGGCACCGGGACTTGGAGCTCCAAAGGATATCACCCAAGCCCTGAGTGATCACAGCTTGCCGCGCGGCAGGGAGGAGCCTCCCTGGAGTCCCTACATCCCCCCGTTTTAGAGCCTTTGGCATCTGATGGGTGCAGACCCTCCAGGGTGAGATGATGCACCCGGTTAGCGCCAAAGTGTGGCCGTGTGCACTCCTGGGACAAGGCCACGACGCCCTGAGAACATGGGAGGGGCCCTGAGCTTTCCTGGGCGGCCTCCTTAACACGAGAGCCTCAGCAAGCGGGTGCCTGCTACCTCCTTGGGGCAAACACGGGAGGAACAGCCACCGCCAGCTGGTCCCTTAACCAGGGGCTCCCCAAAGTCACCGCCTGCTGGTCCCTTTACTCTGGGCTCCCCCTGGCTCAGGAATGTGGTTCCCATTGTTGGGCTCCATGAGGCCAGGCGTGTCCTGGATGGGGAGACCTGCTGCTGGGTGAGCAGGTAAGTCTCAGCAATCTCTGATATATGCGGCATGGGGGGCCTGGGGCCCCTCTGACTCCCTTGGATGTCTTCACTCAAAGTGGTCACCCAGGCTATTCCCAGGGCAGACCCTAGTCCCCTTCCAACTGGCCATGGTCCACACACATCAGCCAGCCTCTCCCTAGAGCCCTGCACTGAGCACCAGACCTCGAGTGTGAGTGGGCAGGCCAGGCTGGGGCACCCTGCTCCAGAGCATCCCTTCCCATTTTGGTTGAACTTAGAAGTGGGGACTTGTGAAGCCAGACACTTTGGCCTAAATAGCACAGGGTCAAGACTGCAGTCACAAAAGGTGACCCACCAGCGGAAATGGGCCAAAGCAGTGTCCCTCCCAGAGGCCTGGCAGCCAGCTTCCTGCCACCTTTCCCTCCCCTTTTGGCACCACTGCCACCCCCACCCCAGAGGACGGCCCCTGCTCCTGGGCCATGACGGACCCTGGACAGCTGGGTCTGCCGAGAAGGAAGATGGCAGCCCTGGGTCCCCACCAGCACGGACAGCACTCCCATGATGTGACTGGTAGATCGCTGGGCAACGGCAAGGGCTGGTTGTGATGTGAAGATAAGTGATGGAAAGCTAAGAGAAGCAGGTGGCACCAGACAGGCCCTCCTTCTGTCATAGGACGCATCGCCCAGGCCAGAGGACAGAAAACCAAGTCCTCGTGGCCCAGTGTGGTCTGTCGCTGCTGTCCTCCCAGCTCGAGGAGCCCCCTCATGCTGGCCTTCGGCTTCCAACAGAGCAGGACCCTCTGCCAGAGGGTTTCCCCTCCAGCAGGGGGGACCAGGCTTCTACGGGGTGCCTGGGCACAAATCTCAAGTCCATTCCCCACTCCATGGGGCACCCTCAGGGACGGTCCTCCTGGCCTGAGCTCCAGGTGTCTGCTGAGGCCGAGTGCAGGAGGGGGCCAGTCCTGGCAAGACCATTTCTCAGTGGTCACCCTGACGCAGAGAAAGGTGGTCAGGAAGAAAATCTATGCTACGAGCTCGGTCCAGGGCCTGGCATGTTGGGTTACACCAGTTCATGCCATGTGGTTTTAGGTCAGGCTTCTTCATTGAACAAACACTCATGGGGCACCCGATACATGCCAGGCCCTGAGCGGCAGGCGTGGTGCACCCTGCTCTGGGGTGACACGCTCAGGCAAAGGAGACACCCTCAGGCAGAGGCCACACGCCCAGGCATAGGAGCCCTGACATAAGGTAGGAAGCTCTGGGAGTCCGGGAGGGACCCAAAGTGGGAGTGCAGAGGAGGGAGAAGGCCAGGAAGCCTGAGACCTCAGCCCCCATCAGCCCCACCCCACTCAGGACACCCAAGGAGCCCTCTTCCCCGGACTGCAGAGTTCCCACTCACCTGCTTGATGGCTGCTCGGAAGGCCCCTAGGATGGCCGCGGCGCCCCCGCAGTCCCTCTTCATCCCAGGCATGGTGGTCTGGAGGCGGCACAGAAAGGCCGAGAGAGGGGTGAACGGATGCTGACCCGGCCAGCAACAATGCCCCAACCCTGCCCCTACCCTACCCAGCACACCAGGGCCCCAGAGGGGTCTCCGCTAGACCTGCAGGATCTGGTGCCAGGTCACCTGAGCATCCACAGAACCCAGGAAGCTCCCATTGGTCAGGGGGTGCTCTCCAGAAGTGATGGCCTAAGACGATGGGACCCCTGTCACTGGAGCAGGGCTTTGGGAGTTATGACGTGGGAGGACGGGGAGGGGGAGGGGGAGGAGGGGGAGGAGATGGAGGTGGGTGAGAGGTCCCGAGCTGCCATGTTCCCCGTGGCTGGGCTCCTACATGGACACAGCCACCCTAGCTTGGAGGCTGGGCCGTGACCACTTCACGCAGCTGCCAAGTCCCCCTGGGGGTCTGTCTGCAGCGCCTCTCTCTGTCTATTTCTCTGCCCAATTTTTGAGGAAGAAACTGAGGTCCAGAAGCCTCCGAGTTTTGCTTGAGGTCACTAGGTCACAGGGCTCTGGAGAGGGCTTCCCGGAGGCACGAGGAGCTGTGGGTAGCTCCCGGGGCCAAGATGGGGTGTGAAATCCTGGAGGGGATGGGATTGCCCACGGCCACCTTGCCTGGACTCTCCACTTATCACAGGTCCCGCTGTGTTTATGGGGGGACCTGGGGGTTGAGGTCAGTGCCAGACACCCCGAAGCTCCCTGGCCCTCCTGCCTCAAGGTTGAGCCCGGCCCTCTACCTTAGAGTGGCCCCACGACCCCCATCTGCTCAGCTGCTGCGCCAGGCAGCGCAGCCCTGTTGGAGAAAACCACACAGTGGGCTGACTGCCTCTGATGGTCATTTATGATTTCCAGCCACAGCTGGAGGCACAGCCACTCAGCACTCTGTCCACTCACCCTCCGGAGCCCGAGCAGTGCTCCCCGCTCCCACGGTGGCCTTTCTGACCTTCCAGTCTCTGTCCCCATCAGCCCCACCCCACTCAGGACTCAACTTGCCTCCTGCTTCAAAAGCCATCAGAGTCCTGTCTTCCCTCCACCCTCAGGGCCTTCTCCTGGAGCCACCTCCACCTGTGCTGTCCCCCCACTGCTCCTTCCGCCGGGTGGGCCCAGCCCTGGGTCCCTCCCATGATGCCAACCTTTCTCTTTTCCTTGGTTCCCACCCCTCAGCCCTCAGTTGACAGGCACCCTCGAGATCCTTATCCTGAGACAGCCCATGGAGACTCCCCTTCTCTGTCCCTGAGCTCTCTGGACAGCTCACCTGCTCACCTGCCACCTGCTTCTCCCAGTGGCCCACCTCCCCCAGCCACCGTGCTCTGTTGGGTCAGTGGTGCCCCCAATGCCAAGCACCATGGCTTTCGGCCCCTCTGATTCCAGCTGGCTGCTGGGCTCACGGGAGTGGCCTCTCCCTGCTTCTGAAGCTCTCTGCCCTGCACTTGCAGGCCCAGTGCCAGCCCAGTGTGCTCATCAGCAGAGGGCCCTGGGGCAGCCAGGCCCTACAGGAAGCCTCCCCTGGATAGCCTCTCCTCCCTTCGTGGCTCTCTCTCTACCACTCTTCTTCCACAGGCCCAGTGCAAGGAAAGAGCCCCGGAGCTTTATCCCAGGCCTGCCCACTTCCTGCTGCCCCTGAGCTCTCACCCCACCCACACATCCACACCCAAATCCCAGGGGCTTCCTGCAGCAGCCACACAGCAGGTTAAAACCAGGCACCAGGTGACTTCACCTCCACTGCCTCCTCCCCGTACCCTCCATCTTTGTTTGGGAGCGAGTCTCCACACATCTCCCAAGAGCAAATCTCTGCCTCCTCTGTTCCCTCCTGCCTGCTGTCCTTCTGGAAGGTCTGGCTCACCCCGGCCAGCCCTCTCCGCTGGGCCAGGCCATGTCCCTCACTACACCACACGACCGCTCCAGCCTCCCTCGCACGTGAGCCTTCTTCCCTCCCTCATGCCACAGCCAAGACCACCTTTCTGCAGCAGACCACCCTGCCCTGGCCACCGGCCACCCAGGGAACAGGCCCCACTTGCTCTCACTGGCATTTAAACCCGTCACCATCTGGCCTCAGTGACACTTTTGGTCTCGGCTCTCTCTCCTCTTCCATGTCACTGTCTTGAAGGATCCACTTGGGTTAATGTGAACTCTTCCCAATGCCACTGTCACATCACCAACCCCACCCCACCACTTGGCCCCATCCTCCGTTCAAGTCTCCTGCGTAGACGGGTCTAACAAGACAGCGCTAGAAACAGAGGCGCCTCCTGCTGCAGAGGCAAATGTGATTTTCTATAAACCAGTTGAGAGTGGTTACACATTTTTACATTTTACAGGCTCCCAACTCGAATTGACAAGTTCATATTTTAAATTAACAACAGGTCATCAGATGTAAGGATTTGGGTTTGAAGTGTACTGAGTGATTTTTGGAATCCTTATCGGATTACAAGAGCCTCGAGTTTTAATGGAAAGTATTTTTAGATATAAACGGAGCTGCTTTTGCAATTAAGTCGGGTGAAAATGACCCAGCCAGCACTATTGAAAATAAGCTATCTCTTTTGACCTAACATTCGAGGAAGCACAGGATTGTTTAAATGGAAAAATGGGGCCTCAGATCTATAATCAAACCACTTGCAAAATGGCCCACACAGAAAATGACTCAAGATGGTCACTGAAATGGCGTCCTCTTGTCACCACACAGCCTCCCGACTACAGGCAGAACAAATGCCCAGGAGCTCAAGTGATCGTGTAAACTTTGCAGACTCTCCATACATCATTCCTGTTTTTAAAAAAGAAACCACTTCCGTATTAACACCAAGATGTGTTTGCCTTTTTCACTGGGTTGACAAACGAATGGGGAAAATCAATGATGGGCTGGTGCCGTGGCACGGACCGGGGCGTGGCACCCAGGATCCAGCATCACTGGATTCATCTCCAGCCCTCCAGGAAAAGAAAGCACTGCCAATTTCACTTGAGTTTAAAAAAATCACGGGCTGGCCCCGTGGCTTGGCGGTTGGGTGCGCACACTCTGCTGCTGGCAGCCCAGGTTCGGATCCCAGGCGCGCACCGACGCGCCGCTTCTCCGGCCATGCTGAGGCAGCGTCCCACATACAGCAGCTAGAAGGATGTGCAGCTATGATATACAACTATCTACTGGGGCTTTGGGGGGAAAAATAAATAAATAAACAAAATCTTTAAAAAAGTCTCAACCGTTGAGCGCAGCCGTTTTCAATACTCTGTGTGACCAAACAGAAGATCCTCGCAAAGCACTCCTGCTCTCTCTGGACGCTCAGTGATTGGTTAGAGAGGAAGCCAGGCCAGGTCATTGGAGTTCTGAGTTCAACTAGCCTCTGTTCTCATGAACATCATCTTTCCTTGGAAGATCAGCTGATACATGATGGTTATTCAAACAGGTAGCTGGCAGATGTTTTCTCAAAAACGAACAAAGTGAGCCTCTCACTTCCAGGAGAATAGCTGATATTATTTGTTGCCAATGGTAAAATTTGAGCTTTCAGGCAAAAATCAGAATTTTAGAAAACTTGTATTTGCCTCCATGACAGCTTCCTAAAACTCAACAACTTTTTAAATGAGATGGATGGTGGTATCATCGAAGGTGATTTTCTTTAATTTTATACAATGAAATGTGTTAAAATTTGGAGGTTCTGCGTAACTCTGTGAACAATATTTCCAAATGATCCATGCAGGATATTACAAAATCATGCATTCAAAGTGTAGGATAGACCAGTAGATTTTAATGTAACAGAGTACAAAAGTTCACTGATCTGGCTTTAGATTCCACATTATAACTAATCTTTCCAGTTCTGGTGTAACAGCAAAGAAGAATGTCCTTAGTTATCTGGAAAGAGTACTCAAACACTTCTCCGTTTTCCAACTACAAAATGAATGAGGCCAGATTTTCTTTTTGCCTTTCAACTAAAATAATGTATCACAATAGACTACACGCAGATCACAGCTGTCTTCTATTAAGGCAGACACTAAAGAGATCTGCAAAAATGTAAAACAATGCCTATTCTTCTCACTATTTTTTTTCATTTTGAAAAATATAGTTATTTTCATAAAATTATATTATTTACCATAACATGTAATGGGGTTATATTGTTATTTTTGAATGAATTAATAAATATCTTTACAATTTCCCAGTTTTAATTTCTTGTAGGGTAAATATCAACAGACATTACCCGTATAAACAAAATCTCTTTGGGATCAGTACTTTTTAAGAGTATACGGGGTCCTGAGACTAACACATTTGAGACCTGCTAGTTCATGCCGATCCTGGTTTGCCTTTGAAATCTCTGGAAATGGAGCTGTGATTGTTCCTACAAAATTGGTACCACCAGCAAAATGACTAATTCCCAGGACACCCTGCTTCTCACTCTGACCCTCTAACAAGCCAACAGCCAAAACAAGGGTCTGATTCCAGGAGAAACAAGCCCACAATGCTACCAGCCGGAGCTCAGCTGCCTCCAGGGCAAGAGCCGGGGTCAAAAGCAGGTGGGGCTAGAGGGGGCACATCGTCTGCGGAGAATTTAAAAACAATAATAAACCGACTAAAAGTCAGTTTGCCTGTTGTCATCAGTGGTAAAGTATTCCTCCTGAAAAAATCCGTTGTTGGTTGACGTTGAGTTCTAATCATACAAATAAAAGCTTCAAATCCACCTATTTTAATTATTTATCCTTCTAGAAACATTATTCTACATGGATGCTAATAACTGCCAGTTACACATCTGGCCTGATACGCACAGACTCCGCGATGCACCTTCATTCTGAGAACGGTCCTGATGGTTGGGGACCGTGGGGTCTGCCTTCGGATGCAGCCGGCATTGCAGGGCCTTCGACGTCGCACGTTCTGCCTTCAAACGGTGGCTCCAACCCCAGGGGCAGTGAGCTCGTCTCTTCGCTTCCCTCAGTCCATGTGAACAACTGGAGTTGTTGTGTTGAAAGCGTTTTGACTCCACAGACATTTGAAAGCCACTAGAATCCATCTCAAAGAAGTGAAGACATGGAAAGTCTCGAAACTTCTGGCATTTCTCGGGAAATGGGACTTTCAGCAGTCTCTGCCAAGTGACCCTTATGTTAAAGGCTTTTCTTGAGTATTGCATATTGGTTGCTTCATGTGACAGAAACTCTTCAAAATCAAAATTAGTAGTGTTTTTTGGATCGACTATGAGTGAAGATAGATGGCAAATATGGTACCTCTGTCTGTCTAGTGAACACAGAGATGTGAAGAAGATCAAGTCTGATAAAGTCAGTGACAAATCTGCAGAAGCTAAGGCCTGAAAACAGAAACTGCAACACTAACATCCACTACCACAAGACATCGATATGGAGGCATGAGTTTTTTCTATTAAAAAAAATTATATTAATGCTATTTAAAAGTGTTAATCCATTACTGTTTTCTTCATTTGTACTGTAATATTTATTTTTAATTTTTTACTAGCATGATAATATGTATGGAATTCAATAAAAGAGAATTCACTATCAGTATTTGTTTTTTTTAACCTTTATTATTATTCATTTCATTTCCTGATTAGTGCTGAAAATAATTTTGTTGTTTAGAGGAGGAGTGATGTTTAACAAAAAAAGACATCTCCTCTAGGCACCAAACACACTGGACAGGCTAGAAGTACAAAAGGTAGCAGCACAAGCTCTACCCTAAAGAGCAACTTATACTGGGGTTCAATGTCAGAGAGGTGACAGGGAGTGGTGGGGTCTGCGGCAAACTGGAGGATGTAGACTACATCCATGGGGACAGCCGTCACTTGGCTCCAGCAGAATGCTGCCAGTTGGGAACATAGGACGAGCACTGCCAGATCTTCTGAGTTTCCAAAGTTCAGAAATTTAGTCTTTTGTGAGAATTCTTCCTGTTTTTAAATGTTGGTAACTAACTCAAATCTTAAACCACCACTTGGGCCAATAGGACACATCTGTGAGCCATGTGGGCTGCCAGTTTTCAACGTCTGCTCTGCACGAGCTTAGCTTGCCCTGGCCTATCTAAAGCTTTCTCTCTGGGATGTTTGATTCTCTTCTTCCAGATCTCGTGGGGCATCAGTTTCACGTCAGCTCCTTCCCAGTCTGCTCCTTCCCAGTCTGCCCCTCAGAGCCCAGTTCGGGCCTGGTGCTCAGGAGCTGCTCAACAGGAGTGTGCAGGACGAGCAGATGAAGACCTCTCGCTCCTGCTGTTCCTGGTGCCAGCACGGCTCCTGGGGCACAGCAGGCCCCGACATGCTGGGATGGAGGAGCGCGGGCTGCTCAGAGGCAGACAGGTGCAGACAGGAGGTTCTTAAGCACCCATCCTCCTGAGATGGCCGGACTTAAAAGGCCACCCACAGGAGGGACTTCTGGGACTGCTGGCCTCCCAGGCAACGCTCCCAGGCAGCTTGCTTCTGGCTCCAAATTCCCCTCGTGTTAGCGAGCGCGCCTGCTTTCTGAGCGGTCTCATGCGGACCACTCTAAGTGTTCTCTCCGTGGAAACCTCGGACGGTCGTGGAGACAGCGGGCCTCACCCCACACGCTTCTCCTCTTCACACAACCACCTGATTCCTTGAACCTTGCCTCCCTGGGTTCTGTTTTCCAGCCTTTTAATCATTTCTGCAGCTTTTCTCTGGATCCCGTCCAGACTTTTTGCTTCCAGACTCCTGTTTGAAGTGTGGGCACGAAATCATCTCCCTCTCAGAAGGGGAATCGGCCCCATTGACTCTCTTCCTGAACCTGGCTCCCCAGAGGCACGCCCCAACTCCGAGCTCCCAGAAACCTCCCTGCCTTCCTCCGACGCCTCTGAGAGCTGGTGAGCCCACCTAGAGCCCTCCCCACCCCAGGACCCGCCCAGGCGCCAGCCCCACACCTCACCTTCCCTTTGATGCTGAGACCCCCTGTGTCGTAGACGATCCCTTTGCCCACCCATGCAATGGTCTGGGTGGCTCCATCTGGAGTATGGCTGAGGATGGCCAGAGCTGGGGGGTGGACAGCAGCTTTGCCAACACCATAGATTCCTACAGAAAGCGTGGGGAGAGGGTCGATTAGGCTCAGGTTGAACTGAACAGAGGACTTTCAGCAGCTCCCCCAGAAACAAGAGCTCTCCCCCAGGAAATATCCATTGCCTTCTCCTGGAGAGCTGTGCTGTCCAAGCCTGAGCTCCCTGCCCCCTCTCCTGCCCCCTGGCCAGCGTGAGATGGGGAATGCAAATTAGTTCCAACACTCAGGGACTGCGAATGAATTCTATGCACAGTACTGTCAGGCAAGAAAACCCGCTGAGAAAAAAAATATTGTATCATTCCCAGAAAGAAATGAACAGGATTGCAGAATGAAATGATTTTTGGATAATGCTTCAAGGCCGCTCCAGCCCACGCTTGTTTTCCCCTCCCTGAACCCTCTGTGCACTCAGAACTGCACTATCCTTTCCAAGCTCGCGCCCACCATTGCCTCTCTGTTCAGTTTACAGGCCCCATCTTCTCAATAAAGTGGTGGACTGCTGTGGGCAGCATCCATGCCTCAAAGTTCCCCAACCCAACAATGGCTGTCCGATAAACTCCTACTCATCCTGCAAGACCCACTGCAAACGTCACCTCCTCTGTGAGGCTTTCCCTGATAGGAACGGCCTCTCTCATCACTTGTAATTGGTTTGTATGTCTGCAGTAGGCACTCTAAGATGGCCCCCAATGACCCCCACCTCTGGGTATTCATGACCGTGTGGATCCTGTTCCCCTAAGTATGGGCAGGACCTTGTGTCTCACTTCTGGATCTGGCAGAAGTGATGAGATACCACTTCCAAGTTTAGGTTACAAAAAAAGACTGTGCCTTTATCTTGCTTGCTCGCTCTTTCTCGCTCTCTCTCTTGAAGACCTCGCTCTGAGGGAAGCAGCTGCCACGTTGTGAGCTGTTCAAGGAGAAACCCACGTGACAAGGAACAGCCAGTGAGGGCCTGACGCCTGCTGGCAGTGCTGTGAGTAAGCCTTGCTGGGAGCATGTCACTGGCCCCAGTCAAGCCTTTAGATGACTGCAGCCCCTGGTCAACACCTTAATCACAGCCTAGGAGAGACCCTGGGCCTGGAACCCAGCTAAGCCAGGCCCACTTTCCCACCCACAGAACCGTGAGATAATGCATGTGTGTTGCTTTCAGCTGCTACCTTCCGGGGTAATTTGTTTTACAACCATAGATAACGAATACAGTGACCCTCCCCCAGCCAGTCTGAAAGTACCTTGTCCTAGTTGTCACCACACCTCCAGTGCCCAATGAGTTGGGGAGGATGGGCCTGGTAATCAGGGAAGGCTCTGAGGAGGTGGCTTTGAGCTGACATGTACAGGGTACGATGGCCCCCACTAAGAGAGTATCTGGGGGGAAAGTATTTTAGATAGAGAGAGCCGTAAATTCAAGGCGCTGATGTGGATGTGAACTTATATATTCGAGGAACAGAAAGGCCCTGCTGAGTTGGCCCAGGGAGCCAGGACAGCAGCACGTGAGGAGCTGGAGAGGGAGTGGGCGGGGGAAGGACTTGGATCCCGCGTCTTCCAGAATCTGAATCACTGCCTCCTTTCTCCCCCAGAGAAGGTCTGCTTCCCCGAGTCTGGCCTCGGAGTTGGACACAGGCTGGTTTCTTTCAGGATGAAGCCTGGGGCAACATACCATGTGGCCCACCACCACCCTGCCACCTAAGGTACCCCAGAGCATTCCCTGAGGCCAAGACCTGAAAGGACCAGCCCCCACCCACCTCCAAATCCTCTTGTCTTCAGCTCCTCGTCCCGGATGATGGTTGGGGCGATCCCCAGATCTTTTCCAACTTTCTTAATCTCCTGGACATGTTCATGGAAACAACAACAGGAAGACACGTGAGAATGGCTGAAGTCAAGGCAAGGCCGAGGGTCTGAGCCAGGATGAGCCGATGCCTGTACGGTGGGAGAGGAACCAGGCTTGGGAGCCAGTGGCTTCAACTCTCTTGGCTTTGAGTGTGATTAAACCCAGGAGAGCAGACTCACCCTCCAAGCTCTGCAATTTCCTGCAGCTCATGGCTGGAGTCCTGCGGAGGGGCCTTGCGGAGGAGGCTCTGTCCTCCCTCCACCCTCAGCCACGGCCTGCAGGCCCCTTAGAGCCGGGTAAACAGCAAGACTTCATCCGCAGCAGTCCCAGGCTTCCCCAGGCAAGGTGCAGAGACCGTGGCCACTGTCCCCTGCCAGCCCCCAGGTCTCCTCTGACTCTCCTTGGGGTCTACTGACACCCATCCCATCCTGGCCCCACCCCCTGACACGTCCCCCCGGGCCACAAACCTCTAGGAAGGTGTCTGTGTTCATCTCATTGCAGGGCGTGTCCACAATGCGGGCCGCCAACCGCACGCCCTCCGTGGCGTTTGCTAAGCACTAGAAAAGAACCAAAGGCTGTCAGTGGGGCCCTGGGACCAGGCGCAAGGGGGCTGTCCCTCTTCGTCCATTCCCCCAGGAACCCAAAGCCATCAGAGGCACATGTTACCTGGGGGAAGTTGCAGACCTGCTGACAGGGAGGCAAGCGGCAGGTGGAAGAGAGGCCAGAGTCACACCGCTCTCGCTCCTCAGTGCCCATGACCCAGCCAGCAATCTATAGAAAGTTCCCCACGGCTCCGTACCCCATCTCCAGAATTACACAGTCACTCTCCGGCCCAGTGTCCTGACCTGGTACAAGCGGGGCCCCCTCTCTTTCCAAGGTTCATCTCTAGTTCTTCTCCTCATCCTGGTGGCAGGTGGCCCTCATGCCTGGCGCTGAAAGCGTGCATTCCTACCTCCGGCCTCTACTCATTGGGCACCACCTCTCAGGGGGAGACGTGGCCTTCTGTTACGGTCTGAAAGTCTGAGTCTCCCCCAAACTCATCTGTTGAAGCCCAAAGCTCCAATGTGATGTATTAGGAGGCCTTTGGGAGGTGTTCAGGTTTACATGAGGTCAGGAGGAGGGGGCCCCTATGATGGGATTAGAGTGTCCTTATAAGAAGAGGAAGAAGCCAGAGCCCTCTCTCTCTGCCATGTGAGGACACAGCAAGAAGGTGGGCAGCTGAGAGCCAGGAAGAGAGCCCTCAGCAGAACCCACCCAGATCTCGGACATCCAGCCTCCAGAACGGTGAGAAATCTGTTGGTAAAGTCGCCTGGTCTATGGTATTTTGTTATGGCAGCCTGAGCAGACCAATACACTGTCTCTTCTCTCATCAAGATCCCAGCCGTCCTTTGATGCACTTCTCAAAGGCCATATCCTCCAGAAGCTTCTCCAGATCCTCTCAAGGGAGGGAAGAGCACAGAAAGACCCTGCTTCGTGCAGCTCACACGTCAACCCAGTGCCCAGAAGGGAGCAGGAGCCTGACACCATCCACCATGCTCAGCCTTGCAGCGGGAGCCACTTCAGACAGGGGCATATGCACCTATGCAGAGGTCACACTTGGCCCAGAAACTGACTGCCCCCCACAATTTCCGCAAAGACCTTCTGTCCTACTTTTGCTTCAGCCCTGCCTCTGGAACTTCTGTGCCTTCTCATTTGTCTCTGCCTCACTTCTGCCCACAGCACCGTGCTCTCACTGACTCCCGGTGCCTCCTGCCCCACCTCGATCCCCTCCATCCACCCAAGCTTCAGACAGCAGGCTGGCCTGGCCGCCTCCCCCAGCATGCAGGAAAGAGGCGAAATTACAAGAGAAAAGCAGCGCAGGTTTAGCGGGGGCGCAGGCAGCATCAAGTTTATCACGGCCTGTTCCAGTCCCACAGCGTCAGGGAGGGCAGGCTCTGGGTCGATAATGTCAGCCCAGCCACCTCCCAGGCCCTGTCGAATCACTGCAAGAACCTCTGCCTGTCCCGAGGTAATTAAACCCCAAAGCCTCAAAGGCAGAGACGCAAGACGTGACAGCTCAGATATGAGATGTGCCTGTGTGGTCCCCGCCGCCTGTCAGCGGGCTCTCCTCCGGGAGAGCGAGGGTCCCTGTCTGTGGGCGTCACAGAGACCCATTGCTCATCTCTGACGCAGCCCATGGCTGCTGTCTGGGAAGTGCGTCAATGCCCTGAGACTCGTCTCAGAGGAGGCCAGGCGCTCGCCTTGCAGACCTCTGGTGAGCTCAGAGCTCCTCCGCGCAGCAAGGCTCAGGGTGAGAGGGCAGAGAGCATTCGTGGCGGAGGCGCCCAGTGCCCCTCCACCACCGCACAGCCGCACCGCACTGAGGAAGAGCTTGAGCCTCCTCATGCCTCAGTTTCCTCATCAGCAAAGCAGGATCATTCATTCATTCATTCATTCCATCCACGTTTATGTGAGCACCCACTGTGTGCCAGGCTCCACACTAGACTCTGAGAATCCAAAGACATCAAGGGACTCTGATCCAACAGAGAATCACAACACATTGTTTCATTAAATGCTACAGAGAAGGAGGGGACAAGGGGCCACAAGGATCCGGAGGAGGGGACCACGACCCGGTTGGGGGCTGAGGAGGAAAAGGCCCCACGGGGTGTCAGAACCTCATGTGTTCATGATCTAAGACAGATGGGAAAGAGGACTGACAGACGGTGGCCACGGTTAGAACATGGTTCTACCCCTTGCTGGCATGGCCCCAGTAAGTTACTTAATGTCTTTGAGCCTCAGTTTGCTCAACTCTAAAGTGGGAATAATAGGATCCATCTCACAGGGCTGTTGTGAGACTTAAGTAAACCAATCTGTGTGTGTGCACACGTGCTCAGGGCAGTGCCTGACACCGACCAACACCTGGAAAACACTGGTGCTCACGTGGCCAGATCTACCTTTGTAAGACAGTGGGAAGGGGGAACTGGAGGGAGGGCACGTGCAGGCAGCAAGACCAGTTAGGAGGCTGCTGCAATGGTCCAGGAGAGCAGTAGGGTACGGGTGGGGGCGCCTCAAGGCAGGAGCAGTGGGCAGAGTAGGATGGATGGGATATAGGGGCCAAGGAGACCCCCCCCAACCCACTGGCCCTCGTCATGTGCGTAGCTGTTGCTGAGATTACTACGCACAAGACCAGGTCTCTGCCCTTGGGGAGCTCCAATTCCATGAAGGCACAGAAGCTAAACAAAGAGGTATAATGTCAGGTGTGAGTGACACTCAGCTGGCAGAGGGCCTGATGGTGTGAGAGGAGCCATATTAGCCAGGATGGCCAGGCCTCCCTGGAGAAGGGATGTGGGTAGAAGCCGGACTGAGACTAGGCAGACCTGGAGCAGGATGAAGAGGGAACCTGAGGAGGACTGGGCTTGGCAAGGCCCAGGGACAGCAGGAAGTCAGTCCACTGTGGCTGGGAGGGAGCGAAGGAGGGAAGGGAGGAGGGGTAGGGTCAAGGGCAGGAAGAGGGGGCTTGGAGGAGGTGGGTGAATCTAGGCTTGGTGCTCAGGCTCTCAGCCCTGGGGTCTGAGGAATGGTGGGGCTGAACTCAAAAGGAACTCCCTGGAGCTAGAGGGAATGAGTGGTCGGTGCCCAACTGTGGGATGGGGCCTGGAGGTGCTGAAACCACCCAGAGAGGAGAGACTGAGGTCGGAACGCTGGGCTGTGGCCGAAGGAAGAATAGGGGAGAGGGACGACTCTGGGTGGGGCGGGTGCACTTCAAGGAGGGATGACAAATGTTCGAGTCCAGCAGACAGGGCCCTTAAAACAACAATGTCAGGAAGGAGGCGGAAACTAGCTTTTGGTGGGCTGAGGGGGAAAAGGGAGTTAAGAAAGGCAAAGCAATTAGGCCATGTTTTTAACAAGTCTGGAGATGAAGGGAAGGAAAAAGAGGAGCTGTTTCAAGATGGCAGAGGCAGAAGCACGCTCTCTCCTACAGGAAGGAATCCAGGCAGAGGGGGAGCAGTTACAGACCTTGGGAGGAGACAGCAGATGAGGGGTGCTCTCCTGGGACTGACTGCGACAGCTTTCCCAAGACAGAAGTGAAGGATGAGGCAGGAGAAAGGACTACCTGGGTCTGGCCTACTTGCTGGAGTTGGGGCTGGAGGTGGGGAGGGCGAGACCACAGCAACAGGGTCTGGGACAGTTGCCATGAGGAAGGGAACCCGACATTCAGCCCATGCAAGGACTTCTAAGTTGGAGATCACTTCCAGGCTCGCCTTGCCTCAAAAGGATCATCTGAGGATCAAATGAAATAACATATGTAAAAGTGCACCATAAAGGGTAACATGATATGTACATGGACAGGATTATGAGTATTAAACCATGAAAGTGCCTGGCACTGCTTTGGTGCTCATTAAACATTGGCGGAACAGAACTGAATCCCGAAAACAAAGACCACCCTGAGGGAGAGCGAGCCCCCTGCCCGGGTTTGGAAAGGCCTCTGGGGCCTTCTCAGGAATTAGAGCAGCCCTACCATCCTCCCCAGGAAGTGGGAGAGAGCGCTCTCCCGACACCCCTTCCAGCTGCCCAGCTCGTGGGGACCTGGGGACACGGTCTGAATTTCCAGACACCCACTTGCAAAGTGGACACTTCCACTGGCCCGTTGTCTTGTCCCACCAGGAAAAACTCCACCGTGACAGTCTTCTTCTCCGTGCGCCTGGAAGCCCCCGAGCGGTGGGTGAACAGCGGGAAAGCGCGGGCCAGGGCGCAGGCAGAGGCGAAGGCGTCGGCCCGCTCACAGACCATCTGCAGCACAGAGAGGCAGAGCTACGATGAGGGGCGAAGGGGGGGATGGGACACAGGGGCAAACCCACGGGAGCTGTGACCAGGAAGTGCTGGGACCTCACAGCTGGGTCCGAGACCACTGTGGACACAATCTGGACAGAGGTGCCCCAACAAAACCATCATCCCAGGGGCCTTCCCCAGAACCACTGTCTCGCTACGTGAGAAAAGAAAACATCAGCCTGCAGATGTTGTCTACTGCCTTCTGAGCCAGGAGAGCAGGACATGGAGGGACGAACAGTGGATCTGGATTTAGGCAATCTGGGTCTGAGTCTCAGATTTGCCACCAAAACTGACCTAGGGTAACTGGCTTAGCCTCTCTGACCTCAGTTTCCCTGTCTGTAAAGCAGGGGTTACAATATTGGGGTTGTGGCAGCATCATGCACCTCTGAGATACTGTGGGCCAGAGTGCTCTGCGGTCAGCAGGGCTGAGCTACAGGAGACACACGTTCCCTGCTATGACTAGGTGCCACGTGGGGCCATCTTCTCTCAGAAGCACTCACCAGAATGCACCGATGGGTTCCCGGCGGCAGACAGGTCCGCACAAGTCGGGTGATGAAGTGCGCGGCCGAGGGGCTGTTGTGCCTGCTCACCCTGGAGGGCAGGGCGGCCACGGTGGCATAGTTCAGGTAGAGGGGACAGCTGTCCGTGGGGTTGGGGTTGAGCGTGCTTAGAGCGGCCTGCCAGAGCTGGATCAGAAGGGGAGAGACAAGAGACAGACACCAGACTTCAAACAGTCCGCATGCCAGGAGCCCCGTGCCTGCGTGTGGACGCTTGCAATGCTAAAGGGGCACTTTTGCAGCTTCCCTGGGCACCCACGATTCCTAATTAAGATGTGTGGCATCTTGCTAGAGCTGTGTGTGTCTGCTGGCACAATTCCACCCTGGTGGGATTAAGCAGTGGGGATGTAAAAGGCCAGTTTGGGGGCTGCTTTACTTCATACGCTGGAAACCCACACTGGGGTGCGACCCAGCCAGGTGCCACTGAAGGGGGGGCAGCTGGGCACTGCCACGGGGTTCTGGAAGGCGGGCGGGCAGATCCCCCAGCAGGGCTGCCAGGGCACAGCCCCTCGAAGGCAGTTCGTTAGAGACTGGTCACATCTGCCAGCTCTCCCCACGAGCGTGGGGGCCCGGTGGGTGCAGGGCCTGCGGCCTCTCAGGGCGGGGCTGGGCACCGCC